GAGCACAGGATGCTCTCCACTGCACACCTGTAGAAGGAGGTGAGGACTGAGCTTCCCAGACCAGCTCGCCTCAGCCGTCTGAGGAAGTAGAGTCTCTGATGAGCTTTCTTGATCAGGCTGGTGGTGTTGTTGCTCCAGCTGAGGTTGTCATTCATGTGTACACCCAAGTACTTGTAGCTGGAGACCACTTCCACCGCAGATCCTCTTATGTTCAGGGGGGTGTAGGTGTTTTTGTTCCTTCTGAAGTCCACAATCATCTCCTTTGTCTTCTTCACATTGATGTGAAGATTATTCTCTCTGCACCAGCTCTCCAGGTGTTCCACCTATCAAAGATATTATTATCAAAGAGATTGCACATATGTTACAAGTAAAATAAAAAAAAACACAAAACTATACAGGTCCTTCTCAAAAAATTAGCATATTGTGATAAAGGTCATTTTTTTCATAATGTAATGATAAAAATGAAACTTTCATATATTTCAGATTCATTGCACACCAACTGAAATATTTCAGGTCTTTAATTGTTTTAATACTGATGATTATGGCATACAGCTCATGAAAACCCAAAATGCCTGTCCCAAAAAATTAGCATATCATGAAAAGGTTCTCTAAACAAGCTATTAACTTAACCATCTGAATCAACGACGTAACTCTAAACACCTGCAAAAGATTCCTGAGGCTTTTAAAATCTCCCAGCCTTGTTCATTACTCAAAACCGCAATCATGGGTAAGACTGCCGACCTGACTGCTGTCCAGAAGGCCATCATTGACACCCTCAAGCAAGAGGGTAAGACACAGAAAGAAATTGCTGAACGAATAGGCTGTTCCCAGAGTGCTGTATCAAGGCACCTCAGTGGGAAGTCTGTGGGAAGGAAAAAGTGTGGCAGAAAACGCTGCACAACGAGAAGATGTGACCGGACCCTGAGGAGGATTGTGGAGAAGGGCCGATTCCAGACCTTGGGGGACCTGCGGATGCAGTGGACTGGGTCTGGAGTAGAAACATCCAGAGCCACCGTGCACAGGCGTGTGCAGGAAATGGGCTACAGGTGCCGCATTCCCCAGATCAAGCCACTTTTGAACCAGAAACGGTGGCAGAAGCGCCTGACCTGGGCTACAGAGAAGCAGCACTGGACTGTTGCTCAGTGGTCAAAAGTACTTTTTTCGGATGAAAGCAAATTTTGCATGTCATTCGGAAATCAAGGTGCCAGAGTCTGGAGGAAGACTGGGGAGAAGGAAATGCCAAAATGCCAGAAGTCCAGTGTGAAGCACCCACAGTCAGTGATGGTCTGGGGTGCCATGTCAGCTGCTGGTGTTGGTCCACTGTGTTTTATCAAGGGTGGGGTCAATGCAGCTATCAGGAGATTTTGGAGCACTTCATGCTTCCATCTGCTGAAAAGCTTTATGGAGATGAAGATTTCATTTTTCAGCACGACCTGGCACCTGCTCACAGTGCCAAAACCACTGGTAAATGGTTTACTGACCATGGTAATACTGTGCTCAATTGGCCTGCCAACTCTCCTGACCTGAACCCCATAGAGAACCTGTGGGATATTGTGAAGAGAAAGTTGAGAGACGCAAGACCCAACACTCTGGATGAGCTTAAGGCCGCTACCGAAGCATCCTGGGCCTCCATAACACCTCAGCAGCGCCACAGGCTGATTGCCTCCATGCCACGCCGCATTGAAGCAGTCATTCATGCAAAAGGATTCCCGACCAAGTATTGAGTGCATAACTGAACATGATTATTTGAAGGTTGGCGTTTTTTGTATTAAAAACACTTGTCTTTCATTGGTGGGATGAAATATGCTAATTTTTTGGGACAGGCATTTTGGGTTTTCATGAGCTGTATGCCATAATCATCAGTATTAAAACAATTAAAGACCTGAAATATTTCATTTGGTGTGCAATGAATCTGAAATATATGAAAGTTTCATTTTTATCATTACATTATGGAAAATAATGACCTTTATCACAATATGCTAATTTTTTGAGAAGGACCTGTATATCTAGCATTCTACATAATTAATAAAATAATTTGTCAGAGGGCTACGTCCCCACACACCTGTATCTAATGAGCATTCACATGACCTGTATAGATTGCCTGTACAGGCTGTTTGTGTTCAACTCGCTTCGCTTGGCTTTTACCTTCGTGTCACTATCACTGGAATAAAGATGCTAAAAGGTCTCAGGTTTCAGGTCTCTCTTGTAAATGAGTCCTCGAGGCTCAATGGGATTTACCTGTCTAAATAAAGGTTGAATGAAAAAAAAAAAAAAAGGGAGAAATGTCTCTACTGCTTCCTCACTCGGAGTTCTACGCTGAAATCTGCGGCACACGGCTGACACTCAACATCCAGCCTATGGAGGGTATCACTGATGGTCTTCTTGCCAGTTATGTCTGACCGTCTTCCCCATATTGAACCGAACTGAGACAATTGAACCAAACTGAAGCAATTTAATGACACATGGGGAAACCTGTGCAGGTGCTTTGAGTTTAGTAGATAATTAATGTGTCACACTCAGTTTAAAACATTCATGCTCTGCAAAATTTGGGCTGATTTCTCCACAGTATTCTCTAAAAAAGTTAAATCTGGTCCTCTGGACATTCAAAAAAACAAAACAAAGCAAAACAACAAAAAAATATAGAAACGTTTTGTCTCTCATCCGAGAGACTTCCTCAGTCTGAGGTGCTGTATTCAGCTCAGTCTCTTAAATAGCACCTTCTCAGAGTGGATCAACCAGTTTTGCTGCTGACAACCAAAACCAGCTGATCACATGCTCAAGAAGGACCATCAGCCTAACAATGGATCATTAGCACACTGATGGCTGTTTACTGTTCACAGAGGGCTGAGTGATACTAGCAATCACAGCATTGTAAGAGGGGGACAGTTGAACCCGGAGGCCTCCACCTCTGTTTAATGATGGACGATTTCTTTTCACAAAGATGGCCTCCTTTACTCCTCTCTCAAACCATCGTTCCTCTCTGTCCAGGATGTGAACAACTTCATCCCTGAAAGAGTGACCGCTGGCCTGGAGATGAGTATAGACCGCAGAGTCCTGCCCTGATGTTGTTGATCTTCTGTGCTGGTCCATCCTTTTGGCCAGTGGCTGTTTTGTTTCCCCGATGTAAGACTGATCACAGCCCTCCTGACACTGAACAACATACACAACATTACTCTGTTTGTGCCGGGGGACTGGATCTTTGGGATGAACCAGTCTTTGCCTTAATGTATTTCGGGGTTTAAAAGCCACTGGGACGTTATGTTTAGAAAATAAACGTCTCAGTTTCTCTGATACTCCCTCAACTGTTGAGATTTGAAATTGTTTAAATTGTGGGCCCTGAATTGATCATCTATTAAAGATTAACTTTTTGAATGGAATTATGGAAGTTAAACAACTTTTCCATGATATTCTAATTTTTTTGGAAAGTGTCTGTAATTTGTGGGAAAAGTCCTCGTTGCTTCTTAATTTTCACATCATCCACAGGTGTCCCAGGACCTGCCTTTTCTTCACCCCAGTGAGACCAGTGTCCTCAACCGGCTGTGCAAACTGGGCTCAGATTACACCCGCTTCACCGAGTTTATAGAGCAGCACACGGGCCACGTTCATCAGCAGGTGAGCCTCATTCTGACCCACGTTCAAGGTTTGTTTAGGGTCTTCAAATCGATTAGCAGTTATTCATTATTTTAATTTGATTTAAAAATAAAGGCGTAAGACTTCTTGAAGTCTCCCCTGCAGCCTCTCAGGCCAGAGTTTTACACTGAACTTTGAGAAATCATGGGGTTGTGGCTACTTTGATCAGATGTTTAACACGGCACTCAGTGACATCTCATGCCATATTGTAGATCACATGATCTCATGATCTGTTTGGCTCTTAGAGGATGTGTTGTAAAGGACTGTCAGCTACTACCACTCCAAATTTGACCTCAATATCTGTAAAAGTCACTGAGCTGTATGTATTTTTGTGTAGCCACAGGTCGATTAGCTGTGGCTGACTCCAATAGATGAATCAGCTGTTTAATTTAAATCCGTCCAATGGTTCATGAGATATTTTGCTAACAGACAGGGTTGACTCCAAGAGTTAATGTCAAGGATTTAAGCAAAGATGTTGCACAATGTGTTCAAGTTAAATACCTGTAAAATAATGCAGTTAAAGCTAATTTTTGTGTTTTTTAAGCTCCGTTGGTTGTGGCGGCCATCTTGAATTGGGTTGACTCTAAAGAAAATCAGTTGTAGATGTCAGCCTGGTGACAAAGACGTAATTGTTCCACCTTCACCATCAGTGGTGACCGATAATGAACGTGTCTCATGAACATGATGTGTAACACAGGAGCATCACACAAACCAGCCCAACCAGACGGGACTTCATGGAATTTACCTGCGGGCGTTTTGCACGGGGCTGGACTCCATGCTGCAGCCATACAGACAGGCCCTGCTGGACCTGGAGCAGGAGGTACAACCAGGAGACAAACCACGAAACAACACTAAGGATGTGACAGGACTAGGCCTGTCGCGATAAACAATAAATCAATCGCATGATGAATAAATTATCAACCTCATTTTCATTTATCAGTTTTATCGTTTCTTCGTGTCTCTCTTTCTACTGAAGACACTGGATGACAAAAGGCTCAACTCCGGTGTTCTTCACCGATCCCTCCCTTTCTCTTTAAAATCTGTTAACGATCCAAAATCGCATTTTTGGATGGTTAAAAGCAGCTAAGCTACGAGCTAAGCTAACAGGCCGACCTCTGGGGAAAAAAACCTCCATCTTGTCGAAGCTCCAAAATTCACGGTTGAAACCTGTGCCTTCGTGTAAAAAGTTGTTTTTCTCTACAAAAAGAAGCTGAGAACTTGTTTACTGATTTTTTATTTTTTAATTAAAAGCTTTGTGTGACAAATGCTATGCTAAAGAGCTAAAACCACACCGAGCGTCCGCCATTTTGAGAACTGGAAAAAAGGAAAGAGAGACAGCCCATGTGACGTCAAGAAGTCTCCTCCCATTTTTCTTAAGAGACGCTGCTCGCGCCCTCACTATCCATCCTTCGGTTCAAACTGTCTTATACTGCCATCCAGTGGTCAAATAGGTACTACATACAAATTAATCAACAGTTTTTCTTAAATTTGACAATAATTACTAATTATTGTCAAATTTCAATCAATATTATTGTTTATCGCAATCATTTCTGAGAATTAAACGCTCAGCAAAATTTGTTATCGTGACAGGCCGTGACAGGACACTTTAACATCTGAGTGTGTGTTTCAGTTCCTGGGAGATCCACATCTGACAGTGTCTCATGTGAATTACAAGCTTGACCAGGTAGGTGCTGCTCTCAGTCAGATGTTTGTGTTTGAAGGTCGATGAAAGCCTCAGACGTTTGAGTTTGAGCTGTTTGTGCTCCAGTTTCAGCTGCTGTTTCCTTCTGTTCTGGTGATGGTAGAAACGATCAAATCACAGAAGGTAAGAAAAGTCTGGAGAACGTTTGTTGTAAAAATCTGAGCCAGTTTTCGTCCTCCACAGAGAAGGAGCTGTAAAAAAAAGTTATTTTGCAACCAAATAACTTTAAGAATCTGTTTTAGTTTTAAGTCTGTTCCTTTTTTATAGCTCATCTAAAAAATAACCCAAATGTTTCAAAAAGTCCATTCTTGTGGGGTAACTGGATAAATAGAAAGTAAAAGTGCAGAATACTGATCCACCAAATAATATACCACTCTGACCAGCACATCAAGTTCATTAACTGAAGGGAACAGATACACCGTGTGCCTGGAAAGGCCTCGCAGCATTTAATGGTGGTCCAGTCGTAGTCCAGAATGGATTCAATGTCAAATATTCACACACAGCCACAATGACGATGTCAAAAAGTTTACAATTTACAAACAAACAAAATGGACACAAGTATCCACAGTGTTTGCTCTTTACTTTGTTGAAGCTCTTTTGGTACCGTGTCTGGTACCAACCTACAGGGTTGGTACTTGTTCTGGGACATGTTTTGCAGAACCTCTCAGCTCCATTGGGCTGGATGGGGAGCGTCCATGTTCAGATTCCTGTTGATGTGTTGGATCAGGTTCAGCTCTGGGTTCTGACTGGTCCTCTGGACCTTCACATAGTTGTCCTGAAGACACTCCTTTGTTATCTTGGCCATGTGCTTCTGAACAAGATGTTTCTAATTGTTCTGGTGGAAGAAAGTGTTCCTGGTTACATTTTTGTTCTTCTTTCAGCTTTTCCCTCTTCAGGGGTCTCCACAGTGAGTCCTCCTCCATCTCACTCTGTCCTCACTCCAACTACAGTACTCCCTCGTTACTTCATGGTTCGTTTTTCATGGACTCGCTCTATCGCGGTTTTTCTAAGTAAGATTGGACATGACACAATTGGCTGATTGATGGATGAGCCATGAATTGTTTATTTAAAATAAATTATTTTAAATGATTTAGCACCATGTGTGCAGCCCACAAGTGCAGGGAGAAACTCCCTCCTGCATTTCTCCTTCATGGTCTTTATGAAGGTTAACCCTTTGCTGTCCAGATGCACCGATCGACTTGTCTTCAAACTTAAAACTGAAATGTCACATTGTAAAAATCATCATAATCACAAAATATAAAAGTGTTAAAAGTTATATTTAATTATTTTAGAACTTCTATGTTCAGTTGTGGGGCAGCACGGTGGCGCAACTGGTAGAGCTGCTGCCTCTCAGTGAGCAGGTCCCTGGTTCAAACCCCGGTTCAGGGGCCTTTCTGGGTGGAGTTTGCATGTTCTCTCCGTGCATGCGTGGGTTTTCTCCGGGTGCTCCAGTTTCCTCCCACAGACCAAAAACATGCATGTTAGGCTGATTGGTAACTCTAAATTGTCCCTAGGTGTGAGTGAGAGAGTGAATGTTGTTTGTCTCGTTTGTCTCTATGTGTCCCTGTAATGGACTGGAGACCTGTCCAGGGTGTACCCCGCCCCTCGCACAGTGATTGCACACATGCACTCTGTCTTACTACGCTGACTTTCATTCCTCTTCTTTCAAGTGCATACCTCCACCTCTCCAAGTTCTCTTCCACTTTATAGTTTTGGCAAAAGTGTTTCACGCCGGATGCCCTTCCTGACACAACACTCACCATCTACTTGGGTTGGGACCGGCACAAGAGATATAGTGGCTTGTGCTTCCTAGTGGCTGGTTTTCATCTGGTCTTCCTGATTATATTTTATTGTGAGGATTAAAAGACATGTCCTGATCAAAAATAACATCAAGGTTCTTTACTTTAGAACTGGAGGCCAAATTAATGTCATCCAGAGGACATGAAGGATGCAAAATTTGGTCCTAAGATGCTCAGGTCCAAAAAGTGCAGCCTCTAACCCTAACTGATCTAATCTTAGAAGTTTGATCTAAAATGGTTAGATGTCACCTGATAAACGCTGCAGCTTATGTCATCAAACAGAAGTGTGTGTGTGTGTGTGTGTGTGTGGTTCAGATCCACGGCTGTCAGATCCTGGAGACGGTGTACAAACACAGCTGTGTGGGCCTTCCTCCTGTTCGCATGGCCTTAGAGAAGTAAGTCTGTACATTCTGTGACATTTGAATGATTTTATGTTGAGCATGACACAGATGAGCTCACCGCTCGAACATTTTCTCATCTGCTGATCATTCGTCTCGATTGTCAGTGTGATGAAGAACTCATGGTTGTTCTTTTAGCAGTAAAGATGTTTGCATGAATAAAGTGGATGTAATGAAATGTTTCTTTGTGTATCACTCTGAGACACGTAACAACATCCACCTGATGCGTCCGCAGGATTCTGGCTGTGTGTCATGGTGTGATGTACAAGCAGCTAGCAGCCTGGATGCTGCACGGCTTGCTGCTGGACCAGAGCGAGGAGTTCTTCATAAAGCAGGGCCCCGGTGCAGGAGGTGCTGCCGCCAATCAGGATGAGGAGGAGGACGATCTGGGCCTGGGAGGTTTGAGTGGGAAACAGCTCAGAGAGTTACAGGACTTGGTGAGAGCCACGGTGGATCATTTGAAAACTTTTTCACTTTCCTGAAACATCCGGTGCAGTTGAACAGAAAATTATAAATCAATGTCCCGAGGAGAAATCTGTAAAATAAGACAGAGCTGGTGGCATAAGTGCGCACACCGTTAAGAATTTATTAAAGCACTTTCTAACAGTGTGAATGCTGAGTCGGCAATTGAACGCTGAGTCAGGATTCACACTGTTATCCTGTTTGCAGTTTTCTCCACATTATTTGCAATTAAATTACTTCCGCATACTTTGAGCTAATTTACCCACTCGTATATTAAAACCTTCCACTGTTAGAAATACTGTGCTTTTAGCTATTATCATTTTTCTGCTTTTAGCTACTGTTTTGCTGCTTTTAGCTACCATTTTTCTACTTTTAGCTACCATTTTGCGGCTTTTAACTATCATTTTGCTGCTTTTAGCTGTCATTTAGTTTCATTTAGCTGCTTTTAGCTGTCATTTTGCAGTTTTTAGCTACTGTTCTGCGGTTTGAAAACTATAAGTTTTTTAAATTAATTGCTATTATCTACTTTTAGTTTGCTATTTTTAGTTTTTAGTTAGCATTTTTATTTTCTTTTAGCTGTTAGCAAGTGTACTGCTACTTTTCGCTAGCCTTTTCTACTTTCAAAGTTCTAGTTAGTTTTTTGGATACTGTTAGCTAGCATTTTCCACTTTAAACTTTTAGCTACTGTTGCGCTCCTTTCAGGTTTTCCTTGTTCTTCCATTTCTGTCTTTTAGCTTGTTTGTCTTCTTTTAGCCAGTCTTCTTTTAGACCTTTAGCCACTGGTTCAGTTTCATCAGCGTTGTCGCTGCAAACAGTTTCTGTAGTTTACCTTTGACGTGGTTCTTCTCTAACCTGCCGTCGGCTGAAGACACTGATCAGTCTGACCTCTCTGCACCAACAGCTCACCTGGACTCAGAGCTCGAGGAGGAGCAGTCAGTCAGTGGAACACAGTCAAACAGTCATCAAGAAGTTAGAAAACACGTAAAATAGCAACAGGATGTTTGTCCAGAACAAGAGAACCATGTCATAGAGGCTGTAGAGACACTGGAGGAGCTGCAGGGAGTTCTGGTTCTGTGTGGGTCCACAGCCTCCTGTCTTCTGAGTGGACTCTGGGGTAGAGAAGCCTTTCTGTCAAAGAAACAACGTTCACGTCCAACTAAATATTACAAACATAGATTAATGAAGTCTGCCAGGAGCCTGGGGTAGGATGTGTTCTGGTCCAATGACCCAGCTGCAGTTCCAAGACGTCCATTTGGTGTGGGAACAAGACTGGATCACCACAAGAGCACTGTGCCTGCAGTGAAGCATGGTGGGGCACCATCATGGTGTGGAGGGTTACTGGAACTGTGGTTTTAGTCCAGATGGATGGAATTATTAACCATTCCAAATACTGGAATATTTTGTCCTGAAACCTTCAAATGTCTGCTGACAGCTGAGGGTGAAGATAAATATTTCTTTCGGGATGGCGGAGACCCGGAGCATACATCCAGACAAACAAGAGAACCTCTTCATCAAAAGGACCAGCAGAGTTAAGATATATTGTATTTGTTGGACTATAAGGCGCATTAGATGAAACAAAACAGTCAGATAAGTCAAACTTTATTCAACTCATTCACAATAAAATCAGTTCGAGGTCAGTAAGCACAACCAGAATTAATCCATAAGGCTCACTGTTGACTTTTGAGAACATTAAAGGATTTTAAGTGCGTCTTTACAGTCTGAAAAATATGGTACATTTGATAGAAAGTTTGTGGGGAGGTGTGAAGAGGGCTGTGCACGAGATGTGCTCACAGTGGGATGGACCAAGTCGAGGCGTGTCCTGCTGAAAGACTAAAGGAACTATGCTTCATTAGAAGGGCCCGATGTGAGTCTCACTGCCGTGGCCGTGCGACACAGACAGCATTTTTGTTGTCTGCTCAGAGTTCTGGTTTCACCTGCTCAGTAGAAAACTTTTTTACAACGGGTCCAGCTGAACTGTTAAAGTTTAGTCAAAGGCCTCGTGGAAGGAGAGTGGACAGTTTCTGTGCACAGATGAGACATTGTGGAGACACGGGGTCCTCTCCTTGGCTGGACACCTTCGGGACACGTTCCCACACCGTCTGTCAGAAACGGTGGCGATCTGTTTGTGACTAGAACAAGAGTGTCTCACCATCACGTCCCCATCAGACGTCTTACATCTTGTGAAGTACAAACCAGGCTGAAGAAGACTGAAGGCTGGAATTAAATCAGAAGGATGGGTTTGATTCATGCAACCAGCGTCTTACATCTTCTTATGTATTTTTAATTCTTACTCCACGTTTTTATTCCCAGTTGAACTGGGCAGGACTTTACTGTAAAGGTGGAAGACGTTGGTTGTAGTTTCATTTTTACATCACAACCCCTGAACAAGGTGCACACTTTTCTACCTGCTGTAAGAAATGCAGCGAAGGACAAGAGCTCGGAGCGACCCGGTGTCACTGGTCTCAAATACCTGAGCGTGTGTGTGTGTGTGTGTGTGTGTGTGTGTGTGTGCGTGTGTGTGTGTTGTTTTCCCAGAGGCTGATTGAAGAGGAGAACATGCTGGCTCCGTCTCTGCAGCAGTTCTCTCTGCGGACAGAGATGCTGCCTTCTTACATCCCCGTCCGAGTGGCCGAGAAGATTCTTTTTGTAGGAGAGTCTGTTCAGATGTTTGAAAACCACAACCACAGCCCGTCCAGAACCGGTACCGACCTGCACAAAGTTCTGCCTCAGCAGTCCCTTGGTTCAGAGCTGAACAAGCGTTTGTTCTTCCAGGCTCCATATTGAAGCACCAGGAGGACCTGTTTGCTGCCGAGCTGCACCGACTCAAACAGCAGCCCCTCTTCAGCCTAGTGGACTTTGAAAACCTGATCGATGGGATCAGGAGCACGGTGGCAGAGGTGAGGTCATGGCACGGCATCATTTGAAGAGTCAGTGAGCTGCTCCTCTGTAAACCTGCTCTGTTTGGACGTGCAGCACCTGTGGACGCTGATGGTGGAGGAGGCAAACCTGCTGGAGCAGCTCAAGGTTTGTGTCACTTCAGCCACTTATCAATCAGAACATTCGGCTCCTTCAGGAGACGGTGACTTCAGATCTTTGTAGCTTTTTTACTTTTTAAAAAGGTTTAACTTTAATTACAAATATTTCCCTGTAAAAATGACTTGAGATGCCTTCAGCTTCTAAAACATTGTTCTCTTTCACATCAGCGCACCTTAAGTTTTGTTTTCTTAAGCTGCTTTTACCTACCATTCTGTCATGTTTAGTTTTTAGCTACTTTTCAGCTAGTTTTGGACTTTAGCATGCCTTTTGCTACTTTTATCTTGCAGTGAGTGTTCTGCTTCTTTAATCCGTTTCATCTTCAGCTTATTCCAGCATTCGGCTTTCTCACTAAATGCAGTTCTTCTCGTTAACATTTTGTTCTGGATGAAGAATCTGTGCTGAATGAGCTGCGCTGACATTTTGAGTGTCCTGCAGATCATCAAGGACTTCTACTTGTTGGGTCGTGGGGAGCTCTATCAGGTGTTCATTGACCTGGCGCAGCACATGCTGAAAACCCCTCCCACAGCCGTCACCGAGCATGGTAAACCTGAGCGTCGGCTCATGTTCAGTTTCTAGGACCCGAGTTGGGAACTCATCGGTGTTTTGTAGACACGAGTCATAAGAATGTTACCTGTGCATGATTCAAGGGCTTCTTCAGCTCTGCAGCTTCTCACATGTTCAAACGGTTTCCTCTCCACAGACGTGAACGTGGCATTTCAGCAGGCTGCTCATAAAGTGTTCCTGGATGACGACAACCTCCTGCCCCTGCTGCACCTCACCGTGGACCACCAGGGCAAGGACAGCAAAGGTTCACTCTTAGCTTCATTAAGCTAGCTGCAGGTGGAGACACTACACTCATATTTAGCCTGTTTCTGCTTCCTGTCGTGGAGAGAAGAGTTGGAACTACCCCCGTCTGTTTGTGTTGTGAGCACCACAAGTTGAAAATAAGTCGGGTATCGACTTCCATTTTGGTGTGTGGCTACTTCTAGGTGTAAGAAAGGTCACTATCAAAAACTGAATTGCCAAGTCAAAATCCAAGATGGCCACCACCATATATGAGAGTATACAGGCCACCCCCACCATTGAAGAAACTATGCTTTCTATTTTTTAAACTGCTGAAAAGTAGTTTCCTCTAATGACTGGGTTAAAAAGTGAAAGTGTTATGTTGTCATCCAGCCTCTGATGTGTGTCCCATCAGTGTATGAATATGATAAAGCTCTGATTAGGCTCTTTAGAATGATTTGTTCAATTATCTTTGTAGAGATCTAGTAGAGTGCTGTATGAATGGGTAAATGAGGGCACAGGTTGTAGTGTAAAGAGCTTTGAGTATCTTGAAATAAGATAGAAATGTGCTATATAAGTACAGTACATTTACCATCCACGTATGTTCCCATCAGTGCTCTGCATCTGACCCTGAGGTACACCTAAGTGGAGCAGCACACAGCTATGTAAGAGCTTGGGTAGCAGTTTGGAGACAGGTGCCATGCTCAAGGTCACCACAACATAGAGTAGAGTTTCAATTCAGTTTATAAAGCGCCAAGTCACAACAGAAGTCATCTCAGAACACTGAACATAAATTCATATTTAAAAATAATAATTTAACATTATTTATCTGAGGAGCAGACTGCTTTGAGTTTAACTCCATCACAGAACTCTCATCTTGAACAAGCATGAAGGCGACAGTGGAAAGGAAAAACTCCCTCATGAGGAAGAAACCTTTAGCAGAACCAGACTCAGGGCAAGGGTCATCTGCTTCAACCAGCTGGGCTTGGTAGGAACAGATACACAATGGCAGGTCAAGAATCACGTTAAGATAGAAATAGTATCAAATGAAAACTATTCAGTTTTAGCAAATCATTTAAGGAAATGAGGTCAATTTGTCCTCCAGTAGTCTAAGCCTATAGCAGCATAACAAGTCAACCCTAACTATAGGATTTATCAAAAAGGAAAGTCTTATCCTCAGTCTTAAAACTGGACAATGTGTCAGCCTCATGGACAGAAACTGGAAGTTGCTTCCACAAGAGAGGAGCCTGATAAATGAAAGATCTTCCATTCTGCTTTTGGAAACTCTAGGAACCACGAGTAAGCCTGCAGTCTGAGAGTGAAGTGCTCTGTTAGGAAAATATGGAACAATAAGATCTGTAATATAAGATGGAGCCAGGTTTTTGAGAGCTTTGTAGGTTAGAAGTAAGATTTTGAAATCTATTCTGGATTTGACAGGGAGCCAATGGAGAGAAACTAAAACTGGAGAAATATGATCTCTCCTACTAACTCCAGTTAAGACTCTGGCAGCAGCATTTTGGATCAAATGAAGACGTTTTAAAGAAGTATTTGGACACTCAGATAATAAACCATTGCAATAGTCCAGTCTCGACGTGACAAATGCATGGACCAGTTTTTCTGCATCATTTTTAGATAAGATGTTTCTAATTTTAGTGATATTAAGCAGGTGGAAGAAGGTGGTTCTAGTAACGTTTTTAATGTGGGGGATAAAAGACATGTCCTGATCAAAAATAACACCAAGATTTTTAACATTAGAGCTGGAGGACAGATTAATGCCATCTAAGGAGGGAGAAAGACTGAATAATTAATTCCTAAGGTGCTCAGGTCCAAAAACCAAAACCTCAGTCTTGTCTGTGTTCAACAGGAGAAAATTAAGGGTCATCCAAGGTTTTATGTCTTTTAAGACATGATTGTCGTCAGAGTAGTTGATTTGATTCAGGGGAATGAATCAAATCAGGGGGAGTGGTGGCGCAGAGTTTAGAGGTGGGCCTGTGATCCGAAGATCGCCAGTTCACGTCCCGGCCCCGACAACATCAAAATTGTGGCTAGAGTTGCACCTGCAACTTCCTGGTCCCAAGTCAGCTGCCCTACCACTGCTCCACAGCCACAACATGACCACTTTCACTTTAGTGTGTGATTTCATCTAGACATAAGAAAGGTTATTATCCAAAACTGGTTTGTCATATCAAATTCCAAGATGGCCACCACATATACACACACTGTATATATGTATATGGTAAATGGACTGTACTTATACCTTTCTATCTAATCAAGATACTCAAAGCTCATTACAACAATCTGTGCCTCATTTACCTCCACACACACATTCATACAGCACTTTACTACATCTCTAGAAAGTTAATCTGAATCTGAAGAGACTAATCAGTGCTTTAGATCACATTCATACACTGATGGGACACACATCAGAGGCAGTGAGGGGTTCAGTGTCTTGCACATGGACACTTCAGCATGTGACTGCTGGTGGAATTGAAACCCCAACTCTCCCATTGGAGAACGACTGCTCTAACCACTCAGCCACAGCCGCCCCCATGCTATATTTTGTATGATATATACATACACCTACACCATATATAAAGTTTACTTGCATTCCAGTACTTCTCTTGACCATTAAATAAGGAGGGCGCCCCACCTACCAACTCCCCCACGCAGCTTCGTCACTTCCAGACAGGGAGCGGAGATTGTAGCAGCTCAGACTCCAAACTGCACGCAATACACACGTAGCACTCCACTCTCCCCCCCCCC